CCGCACCCCCCGCCACTGCCCCTGCTGCTTGTCCAGGAGGACGCGGAGGGGGAGGGATGTGTGCTCCCGGATCTGCACAGGGCAGGCCAGGCAGGCTGCAGCTGCGGGCTGGGGCCAGGGGCCATGCTGTCCTCAGGGCAGGCAACACTGGGAGGGGGCTACAGGGGGGCTATGGTGAAATTTGGAGTGGCTGCAGCCCCCCCCCCCCGCGGCCCGCCCCAAGTGCAGTGCGGCCTTCGCAACTGCAGCCTGCCTGCCCTGACCTATGCAGGTCTGGGGGCACATGGACGAGCAGTGGGAGAGGCAACAGGGGCACCCCCCATACCCCACATCTCCTGGATGAGCCGTGGCTCCATCCTGTGCCTGCCCTGCCCCAGCTGCTCAGCGCCTACCCCAGCCTCAGCCCCACTCCCTCCCTCACCGTGGAGGGTGTTGATTTGCCCCACCATGCCCCTTCCCTCCCCACTCTACTTTTACCACAACAGACTTACCAGCTGGATGTAGTTGTATCAGAAATTGGATTGGTATTAGCCAATATGCCTGCTTAAAAATCGACTATTGGTATTGGCCCCCAAAATCTCAATTGGTGCACCTCTAGTGTTTTTCAAATGGACATAGGTGTATATTTTACAATAAACCTGTTATTGTCCAAGTGGAGAGAATGAATGGTCTCATTCTTTCCTGTTTGTCAAGAATTATAGTAAAGTTTATTTTATTTTAAGTGATTAATTTACTAGGTGGCCTTCTGTGGACTAAATAGTTTACTTTTAAGAGAAGTATGTCAACACTAGACACAGCAGCCAGCACGGAGAGAGACAAAATAAGAAATGCTATGCGTTTATTTCAATAAAGCTGATAACGCATATTTTTGCTTCAAATGTTTATTAAACCAATTTTCATGAAGCAATAAAAAATGCATCTTGACAGCTACTATGTGTATCTGAGTTGTTACGGAACTGATTGATTCTCATCCTCCTTCCCCATCCTCTATAGTTTAACACTCCCCCCCTGGGGCTATTTCTTAGGCTAGGGGGATGCTGTTTTTTGAGCAATGCTTGTCTGTGGTGCGCTAGCATGCTGTGAGGACTGAGGAGGCCTGGAAGGCTCAGACACTTGGCTGGCTTAATAGACAGAATGTTCCGATCGCTGCTTTTGCACGAGAAATGTTGCATGTGGAGGAATGTGCTGCAGGCTTTACAGTTGTTTCAGTTTATCTGTGCTTCAGATGCCTTTGGAGGAAGGGACAACTGAAATTGGATGTGCTTTCTTTTTTCTTCTAAAGGTCCCATTTTTGCCTTGACTCTTCCAGTGGCATCTGCAAAGGTGTTTCACTATATAACTACTGTGCAACACCAGGATTTGGCTCCGGATGAGTCTAGGAATATCTTAGAATACCAAGCAGGAAACCTAAAAATCTGTCACGCCCATGTACCTGGATCAGGCTGACACAAGGCAATTCTGTTTCACTGTCTGAAATAGGTGATTAGCAGTATTAGTTTGAAATCAGGCAGAAGGCAGGTAGTACTTTAGACATATACATGGTTCAGTTTGAGCTTTTGTAGGCAAAAACCTGCTTTGTCAGATGCTGCCTACATAAGTTTATACCTCTCTGAACAGTTAACCTCTAAGGTGCCACCTTGCCCTAACTTCCATCCAAAGTAACACAGTTAAATGTTAAATATCTCATGGTTCAGATCCTATTCTGAAAGAGAGTGACATAATAATAATAATAATATCAGCATCCTATCTATTTCTAATTCATACGAGCAAGGAGCTTTCTGTGATGTGATAGCAGATTAATGTATGTAATTATGTGGCAAAAACATAATGCAAGATTATATACTACCAGGCCTGTATAATCTTGATATGGGGTAGAGTCACAGACAGGGGTGACTGGTGCCTCCTGAGTCTAGGGGGCACAATCTGTGGGTGGGCTTGGAGGCAGGCCAAAAGCCCCATATCCACTCCTGCCATATCCACTCCTACACTTCTGTGCCGTGGCTTAATGCGCCCCCCCCTCCCCTGAAAACAAACTAACAAACAAACAAAAAAACCCCAACAAAACATGCAGCCTGCCCTCATGGCAAAAAAACTGCCCTGTCCTGAACAGTGCCAAGTTGGGGGCCAATCCCCTGGCCCCCCCTGTGCTCCCCTACCAGTTGCCTGTGGTCACAGAAACTAGAGCTCTTTTAACATCTTCTTCCCTGACGTCAGTAACTAGTGGCCTCTTTCTCACTCAAGCTTCTTTGCATAGTTTGCCTGCAGCAGCCACCAGCAGCTACTTTTGTCTGTCAGGGAGAATAGAGACATCATAGCTGGTAAATAGGCCACTGGACAAGGGGTGAGGAGTTTGGAGTTCTCTCATTTCTGCTACTGGCTGCCAAGTGCCTTGCATAAGTTATTTGACCTTATTTTGCAGGTGGTAGTGGGAGGTTGGGGAAGGGTGCTTGTACAATTCAGACATTTCTATCTAGAAAGCTGATTATAAGAGTTGTACATATTGCGACAACTTTGATGAGCAAAGGGATGTAAGAAGCATTTTATATACTGGAGAGAAGCATCTGATCAGTAATAAGTGATATGCTTACTTTTCTATTCCAAGAATTTTTTAAAACACCAGTGACAAAATACTCTTTCCAAACTATTTCTATTCAATACTACCTCTCATTACTTTAAAATTGACTCATGAATTGGCTGGAGGCTGAAAACTTGTTCATAAAAATAAAACAACCTTGCAGAACACTGATGTATGAAATATAGGTTGTCTTTCTGGTTCAAGAGCTTGCTGAAGTCTGTGATTAGTCTTTTTAACTTCAGTTTCACTCTTAGGTTTGGTTTTAAGTTTTTCCTCTTGGAAATGCTCAGATGAGTGAGGTGACTATTTTACGCTAATCTGGGAGATTAAGTGCCACTCTTGTCGTATTGCTTTAGCAGACAATTGAAATATTTACATTTCATGCAGCACTCATTTTCTACTTAAGCTTTAATCAGAGGGTTGTCGTTGGTAACTGCAGTGTGAGTAGCTATCAGTGATTGGGCAGTTAATCTGCCAAAACTGACATAGTGCAGTTGCTGGATAATTAAATGCACTTTATATTTCCATATTGGAAATTTACAGACAACACTGGGGGGACTGTTTTTGGAAACAAGGGATACAAGTGACTCCAAAGACAGTCTCCCTGAAGAAAAGTAAGAATACTTGTATTTTGGTTCTTTCTTGAGTTGGACCATAATTTATCTTGCAATATCTAATACAAACGTATTAATAAAAATGTTTGATATGCCTGTTTTCTTCTTTTTCAGACTGTCATTTTACTCTGGGCATTCTTCATTCTCTATGTACTGCATGCTGTTCCTAGCAGTAAGTATATTAATTCCATCTAAGTTGGCACCAAAAAGTTTTTATTTCGTAGCACAGACCTGCACCTCTTGCTGCATCAGCATTTTCTTCTGACCTCCTTTGTGCAAGATTGTTTGTAGGCTCTGGCTCTGAATTAATTGAAGTGAAGGATGCTTAGTAGTAGGTAAGGGAGGGAGACAACAGGAAGCTGGGATGGCAAAAGGTAGCAAAATAAGGTCCAGTTAGCAAGTATTGAATATTTACATAGGGATAAAAGGCATTTAACAAGCTAGTTGGCTCTTGTGCCCTGTCTCAATTGAACCTGATGACAGTGGGTTTGGAAAATATGTTGCTACTTAAGTTTAGTTTGGTGGTTATGCTTTAAAGTATTTCAAGGGTATCAAAAATAGAAAATATATTTACAGTAGGATGCATCATGATATCATGAAACATGCAAAGACTGTAAAGAAACTAAATTAACTCTAACTGAGTGCCGGGCCTGCAAACAGAGTGCAATAGAATCATTTTAGCCTAAATTGCTCTTAGAACAATCTACTTGAAGCAGTGCTTAATGTGATGTTGGTGAGAGAAGCATTACACAATTTGTATGCAGACTTAAGTGTTCAGATTCTTTATCTGTAATGAGCCAAACAATAACTTAGACTCTAGTCTGATTCAGAGAGTGTTACATATCTCCTGTCACAGGACAGGCCTGGGTGGCCATGAACTTTGTGATGCTGTGGGCTGCATTGGCTGTTTGCTAAGCTTTCCAAGGCAGCACTTAACTAGCTTGTATGTTTATATAATTTTTAGAATACACACAAACATGAGGTTGGCTAGGACTTGTACGTCCCTTTACAGATGAATAAGATTGTTCTCTTAAATTCTTCAGCAATGAAAACAAAAACAAAACCTTTATTTGATCAGCTGTGCCTTTTGGCCTTGTAGTTGCAGGGTGCTTGTCATCTGCCTGTTCAGATCCCATTTGTTCTTTGGGCTGTATTTTGGGCGCTCGTTACCCTAGACTTTCCTGGAAAAGTAAAAGTAATCTAAATACTTTCTCTGAGAGCAAGTTGCCCACAGCCATATTTGTAACTTTAAGTTCTCTAAGTGATTGGGGAACTGGTTTAAACAAATTTCTTCTTGCCTGGAGAGCTGCTGATTTACTCAGAACATTGGTAGCATTGTACTCAGTGGATTGTGAATCTTATTTCAGGACATGCCAGCCAGGTGATCCCGTGCAAATGGATAGATTTCCTAAGCTTCCTGTTAAGACGAACTTGAAAATAATTTAGGAAAAATAGAAACTGTTCAGGATCAGGTAGTTCTCTCCCACCCTCAACATATAAAACAGTCCAGAGAACGGCTTTGGTTTAAAGTATCTAGGGCAACGTAGGACATTTCCAGAGACCTGTAAGTGATACTATGAGAGCCCTAGTCACACTTGACAGGTAATCAAAAGTGCACAACTAAACTTAGATGCCAGCAACTTCCAATCTATACAGCAGCAGCTTAATCAAACCTTTTGGTGAAAAGGAGAATGGTGGTGAGGGACTAACTATCAAAGTGCCCTGTGCACAATAAGTCCTTCTCAAATGACCCCTCCCAGAAAGAAAGGCCGTATAGAATAATATTATAAGTGTAAACTGCTCTCGAGTGAATTCCAGAGTTGAGGAGTTCAAGCGCTGCCCTCCACTCTTGTCTTGGCAGGGCTGCCTCTTGAATGCAGGTGTGCTCACCTGAACTGTGGCAGCTAATGAGAGAAGAGCCCAAGTTATTTATGTCAGGAATTTGAGGAGGTACAACTTTGTATCTATTTTAGTAGTGTGGCACCTGGGCATCTAACCTGCACAGCACTAGAAGTACTAACCTTGCAATACAGTAGGGTTTTTTTTTCTTAGATTTGGAAAATGTCTAATATCTCCAGATAGAGCTACAGAAGAGATGATTCTCTCCACACTGGGAGCAGGCATAAACAAGTTTAAATATGGTAGATGATGGAAAGATTTTTGCTTCTGCTCTATTTTAGAAAGTAGAGCATAGCTTAAGAAGACAGACCCATTCAGGTTTTCCAGTCATTCCTTCCTACCACAGTATGGTTGTTCCTCACAATATAGCTTCTAATGCTTTTTTTTAACAGTCCAGTTTAGAATTACAGTATTTACTTGAATATAAGATGAGGTCCCTACCACCACCATAGGCGAAAAAGCCCCTCATCTTACATTCAGGTACAAGGAAACCACATTAAATGCATTGCCAGTCTTTGAGCTGCTGCTAAAAGCAGCATGTGCTCAGTAATGGAAACCAGCTATGAAATATATTAAATGCAGCAGCCATCACTGAGCATGACCATAAAGTACATGGCTCAGTAAACATGCTGATAGGAACCATTTTTTCTTGTGGCCCTTCAAAACATGAGCATGTGTTCCCTCCTCAGGGAACACTGGGCCTGGAACTGAAAGGGCCAGAGCCAGCCCTGACACCCTCCTGTTGGTGCCAAAAATGTTACATTTGACCTTAACCAAAAAGGCCCAGATGCTAATAGGAACCTACCACTTTTTTTCTTTTTGAAATTTTGTGTCCTGGGCTAAATCAGCCCCTAATTCTATCAACTGAGCACAGCTCAGTTGTTCCAGTCTGTGTGGTGCTACCACTAGCAAGTATCCTACCTCTCAGACTCTTCAGCCTGGGGCTTCAGATACTGTACTCCCAAATCCATGGCAGGCATCCTGTGTGCAAGCCCAAAGGCCTTTGGAGTTCAGATGCCCCCTAGTCTCGCTTGCCTCTAGTGAAAAAGCTGAAGGAGCAAGCTAGAGGGAAAGCCCGAGAGCAGTCCCTCATCACCATAAATTATGTAGCTGAAATTGTCACATTTGGAGGCATGTATAGATTCTGGCAGGGGTCAGCCTGCTCACAGTGCAAGGGACAGGCCTTCACCCTCTAACTACACAAAGTCATTCATGGCCAAGAAGAAAAGCGTCATCCCTTCCAGGCAAGCAAAACCACCTAGGACAAACCTACCACAAGGATAGGTTAATGCAACCCATCCAAATAAGACATATGGTAGTGTCTATTGAGTGCAGTCCCCTTCAGTGCTGACTCTTTTTTAAAGTCATGGTGAGACACTACATTGCATACATTTTGACTTCCTCTTCACTCCCACCACTGAGCTGAGCCTTTCTTTCCCATTTCCAATGACTCCTGTTTCTTCAGCAGCCTCAAATGTCTGGCAAGCATCACCAAGCAGGGCCTCAAACAGTTCACTCAGAATCCCTCTGTTGGCCCCTCTCTCAGCTTATTGCATATGATTAGTGACTCTGCCCTCCATGAAGTGAAGCTGGACTAGGTTGCCCTGTGTCTCATCTGCGTATAAATTTTTAGAGGACCCCAGAGCGACATGAGTGGGGGCGAATTAGTACATTGATCCTTTGTGGAGGTGTACCTGGAGTACACACAGTACTGGGCAGTGCTGAACTGTGGGGTCATCATGGTTGGAAATGCCGCTGTCTCTGGTGGGGCCCATCCCAGTGGCTTTGGACTAATATTGTGCATAGTTTATACTATGTATAGGTACAAAAGTCCTGCTTAAAAGTATGGTTATGGAGTACCTGTGCTAAAACTTGTAGCAGTTTAAAACAAAAGGTAAAGTGGATCAATTCTGGGTAAACCAAGTCTGTGGGTACTATTTGCAAATTGCTACAGGTATGTTTATTTCAAGGACAGCTTTTTAAATTTGTTCCTCATTTCCATGTGTCCAGGGAGAGCAGGGTCTGACAATAAGGAGCGGGGGAAAGTGCTTCAGGGAGCAGGGGGTGGGGGTAGGCAAAGGGGTTACCTGATCCCCCAGATTAATTTGTCAACCTCCGACTGCTATAGCAGGTCAAATCTAAGACAAATCTCCAATAATGAGATTCCATCAGATTTATAAATTTTCCCTATATAAAATCTAATTATTGGGGGGGTCATCTTATAATCAGGGTAATCTTATATTTGAGTAAATATGGTAGTTCAATCTAGAAACATCTGATTAAAACTCAAATAGATCAGTGTCAAATGAGTTCTGCCATGGATTAATTTCTGTTCCATCTTCCTTCTCCTCACCATCCCAGTGCACATCAAACAAAAACTAAAACTTTGGGGATAATGAGAAAAAGCAAGCAGCCTAATAGTTAATGTAAAAGGGATTAAAATAATGTTTTGAGAGTCTCATTAACTTGCATAACACAAGGCTTTGATTGTGGGTTTAAATTTATGCACTTGCAAATTCCTAATGTGATGTATACCATGTATGAATTCCAGGTGACAGCTTTGCAAGCCGTGGATTAAATTCATTTCTTCAGCTTGTCTGCATCCTGCAAAATGTTCATCTTACTTTACTTTTGGCACTAGAGTAATATCATCCACAACAGATGGACAGTTTAGTGAAAAATGGAATTTTAAGCTTTGTTTTTTGTTTGTTTGTTTTGTTTTTAAACAAAGCCAAAAATCTACAAGCTTCTGAATAAGGCATAAAGGGAAGTTTTCCAAACTTCTCTAGTGCATGGCTTTGGGAATTTGCTATGGATTTATTGCACTCTCAAAAGTTTAAGCTTTAAAAAGCCTTGCATTCCATATAGGCACTGTACCAGTGGTTAGGTCAGGATTGATTATGGAGAAGACCATTTCATAGAATCATAGAAAATTAGGGTTGGAAGGGACCTCAGGAGGTCATCTAGTCCAACCCCCTGCTCAAGGCAGGACCATCCCCAACTAGATCATCCCAGCCAGAGTTTTGTCTAGCTGGGTCTTAAAAACCTCTACCACCTCTGTGGGTAACCTGCTTCAGTGTTTTACTACCCTCCTAGTAAGAAATGTCTTCCTAATATCTAACCTAAACTTCCCTTACTGCAACTTGAGATTGTTGCTCCTTGTTCCACCTGCCACCACTGAGAACAGCTCCATCCTCTTTTGAACACCCCTTCAGGTAGTTGAAGGCTGTTATTAAATCCCCTCTCCCTCTCCTCTTCTCTAGACTGAATAAG